TGTACGCGTCTACTCAGCCAATAACCTGTCACTCTGAAGTCACCTTAACCAATAATAACTCTCCACGTGTAATTACATACGTAGCAAACATCCCACGCGCCATATATAAATTCCGCTCAACAACTAATCGCATTTTCTATTAAAAACCGGCAGTTAAAAAGAGAAACCGCGAAAACATACACAGCCTTCGATTCTCTTCTCATCAACCTCTTTTCACTCTTTCGCCGGAGGCGGCGTATGATCATCGGAAAATACACCTGAGAAGTCCACGTGGCTACTTGGATCTGAGGTTTTCCAAAGACATTTTCAAAATGGAATCGCACGGCGCCGGTCTCCGCCGTGTCCTTGTCCTGGCCTTCTGTGTCGCCGGTATTTGGTCCGCTTATATTTACCAAGGCGTTCTTCAAGAGACTGTGTATAGCATTTCTCATCTCTTTCCTCTTTCTGTTTTTAAGCTTCGTTTAGTTATATGACTTGTTCATTTTTTTTATGTTAGCGAATTTATGATATTTTGTGCAATTTTGTTTTTAATTATACTATGAGAAAATTGACGTTTTATTCTCAATAGAATTGATCAAATTGGCAAAATTTGCATTTGCTAAATGTTAGAGTGTCTCATCTTATGTAACACACTTTATCTTATGTGACACACTTATATTTTTAATTTGTCCCAAAAGGAAGGACTCCGCCACAAGTTTCAAAAGTCTTTATTTTTTTAAACTCTGTGCCTAGTCAAACACCATCACATAAATTGGAATGAAAGGAGTGTCATTTATGAAGTTTAACTTTGAGTATGGGGTATGTTACAAAATGACTAGAAGTAATAATTTATGGAGTTATCCTTTCCTTTTATACTCTTAAAGGTTCAACTTCTAGTACAATGTGCTTGTGAGTTTGATTCAAATATTTGGTGTTTTCCTTTTAACTTAGTTGTATAATGAGTTTGTGTTCATACACCCCTTTTATTTATTTGGTTAATTTTAATTTTTTATGTTTGGATTTTAGGTCAACGAAGCGGTTTGGTCCTAACAATGAGAGGTTTGAACACTTGGCATTCCTAAACCTTGCGCAAAATGTAGTTTGTTTGGTATGGTCATTTATAAGTAAGTGTTTAGAGCATGTTCGATGATTCTCTGTTTAATGTGTACACAAGAACAAGCGTGAGTAGCATAATTGGTTAAGTAATTAATTATGGTTTTTCATTGCAGTGCTTAAGATTTGGTCTAATGGGAAGAGTGGTGGTGCTCCCTGGTGGAGTTATTGGAGTGCTGGTATTACAAATACTATCGGTCCCGCAATGGGGATTGAAGCGCTAAAGTACATTAGCTATCCTGCACAGGTATGCCCAATTCTTGTTTGTTTTTCGTATCCGGTGTCTGCTCAAAACTTTTTTCCTTGTATGTTTCAAGAGAAGGGCATAATTCTTTGAATTTTCTGGTTTTGAGGCTTCATGTGAAATTTGAACTGTATACTAGCACTGTAGAGTCTCTTGTAGTATTCTAAGGATTGAGAGAATGCATGAGGCTTTGTTAATTTCCTAATTTATAGAAGTGGCTGATGAATTTATGTGAGTTGATGATTCCTTGATGGTTGTTTTATTTTTTCATTTTTTCTTCAAATGAAATGTAATGAGGTCAATTTCCCTTACAGGTCCTGGCAAAATCATCGAAAATGATTCCTGGTATGTCAGCAAGCAAGCATCTTTGCAACTTACATGAATGTTCTTTCTTTTAAGTATGATTTTGAGTATGTTGTCAATCAGGAGATAATGTCAGATATGATTTCTCTTTTTGTTGAAAGTGCCATGGAGTTTTTAGAGGTTCGTGGAATGAAAAAGAAATAATAATATTATTTAATTTCTGTTTTAAGCGCACAGAGGGAGTATATGGGATGATTTAGGCAATTGAAAAAGGATTTAGAAGTAGGTAAACCGAAAAATGTTTAGAAGTATGTTCTTTATCATTTAAAAACTGAATTTGCCAATACAGTTCCAGAGTTATGTTATATGATCAGCCACTGCTTCGTTTTGATTCCGGGGAAAAATTGGAGATTCCAAGAAAGGGTAGCTCCATTGGAGCTGCAAAAGGGGAAACTAGAGCATTCTGTCGAGATACATGAGTTCAATTGGATCAAGGTGTTTGCATTGATACAGTTTTCAAGGGCTGACCATTAGGTGGAGACTAGCGTCAACTTAGATTTTGTATGGAGGCTGTGCATGGGGATAGAATCATACTATTAGAAACGAGGGGACAAAATTGAAAACTTTTAGTTAGATTTCTCCATTCTTGCAAACTGAATTTTTTTATCTCCTCTAATGATTTAAGTTATCTTCAGTGAGAATTTGGAACTCTAACTTTGTGTCCATGAGATCAAACTTTATTTTAGTGGGTTGCTCTAGTGGTTAGCACCTTCCACTTCCAACCAAGAGGTTGTGAGTTCGAGTCACCCCAAGAGCAAGGTGGGGGAGTTCGTGGAGGGAGGGAGAGCCGAGGGTCTATCGGAAACAGCCTCTCTACCCCAGGGTAGGGGTAAGGTCTGCGTATACACTACCCTCCCCAGACCCCACTAGTGGGATTATACCGGGTTGTTGTTGTTGTTCCTTTTTTTTTTTGACACTATTTGATTGCTTCTTGCTGCAGTAATGCTGATGGGAACACTAGTTTATGGCATAAGATACACAGTTCCGGAATATGTGTGCACTCTACTTGTTGCTGGTGGTGTATCAATGTTTGCTCTCTCAAAGGTAACATTTGTATTAAATCTTTAAAGATAACGAATAGCTTTTCTTCTTTCTTCCCCTTTTGCCTCTGACATGCTTGTAACTATTGGAGGAAAAGCAAAGATCATTTATGTGCAGTACCCCTTACTTTTTCTCTTGTACTTGACTTGATTTCAGACTAGCTCGAAAACCATTAGTAAATTGGCACACCCAAATGCTCCACTTGGGTATGGGCTGTGCTTCCTAAACCTTGCCTTTGATGGTTTCACCAATGCTACTCAGGATTCAATTTCAGCAAGGTAATTTTCACTTACCTGTGATCCTATCTGTCCTTTTGTGCGTGATCTCCTTAAAGTTCTTCTGAGGAAATTTTTGTTTGGATTTATGCTCTTTAGATTTTCCTTCTCACATCCTGAATAGTCAAAATAAATGTTCTTTCACACCATGAATTTTTTTCTGATGCTGGGTAAAACACTACGTTATGGAATTGACTCTTGGTCAGTAGGTTTGTATTTTCTCATGTTGAATCCACTGTCTTAAAATCATCCAGATTAGAACTGAACTTTTACATCTCTACATACCAAAGAACCTTAGAGAGTCTTCTCAACTATACCATTTATACCACTCTCAAGCTGGAACGAGGAGTAGTTCGGGGAGGAAAGATGTATTAATAAAGGCTAACAAATACTTTCTTTTTTATAAGTCTGTTCTTCCAAATACGCAACTGCAAGATCCTGTGTATTACCTATTTTAATGTCCTCAATTTGTTTTAAAGCATGAATAGGGTAGAGTTAGTTGAATTACCTCCAATCGGATACTTTGTCTGGTATCCGACATTAGGTGATTACTCAGAAAGGACACATTTCAATGGCTTAACCATAGAAACTTCATCCCTGAAACCACCTCATTCAGGAGCATAATTGACGAGAGAGGTGGAACTATTCAGATTTCGAATTAAAATTTGCTAAAGAGTCGCAAGGATTTGAACATAATTGTGTTCCATATTATGAGGATTTAACAAAATTTCATGCTAATAATCTTCACTGCATGCACAGCATCAGAACTTCATCGTCGGACCACATACTTGGTTGTTGTTTTCGCTTTTTCTCCTTAAATCTGCTGAGGGATATATATCAAATGTCACTGTTTAACATTACTCTGTTTCTTTTGTTTTAAGGAGTTGTCCTCTTTTAGAAATCATTCTCGTGTATGAAGAATCCAGTTCTTCTTTTGTATTTAATGGCTAAGTTGTCCAATTTTTCTCAGGTATCCTAAGACATCTGCTTGGGATATTATGTTTGGAATGAATTTATGGGGTACCATTTACAATATGATGTTCATGTTTGGCTGGCCAACTGCCAGTGGTTATGAGGCAGTTCATTTCTGTAAGCAGCATCCAGAGGCAGCATGGGACATTCTACTTTACTGCCTATGCGGTGCTGTGGGACAGAACTTCATTTTCCTAACAATTAGTCGATTTGGCTCTCTGACCAACACAACCATCACTACAACACGCAAGTTTGTGAGCATAGTTGTATCTTCTGTTTTAAGTGGCAATCCACTGTCAGAAAAGCAATGGACAAGCGTTGTCATGGTGTTCTCAGGATTATCTTACCAGATTTACTTGAAGTGGAGGAAGTTGCAGAGGAAGTCGAAGAAGAGGAAGCCCATGTAAATGTTATATCTATCTGAGGATACAGTTCTGTACTATTAGCCATTTTTCTCCTGCTGTAGTTCCAGTGTCCCAGGAGTGATCATTGGACAATGTAATTGAAAAGAATTACAGTTGTAGAATGAATTACTTTTTCTGGGTATATTGTTAGCTAGCCCACTTTTGTAACTGTTTCATACTAGCAATCAGAGAATAAACATCTCAGAAGCTGGTATAGCATCACTAAAGTTTTATGGAACATCTCAAAGGAATTCTCTCTTTTGTTTTTTTTCCTCTCTGCTTTCAATATTCTCTATAAACCTTGGGGAGGTGCCAATTTGTAAGTACACTGTTTATTTTGCACAATTCTTGGCTTGTGGTATGTCAAAAATAGGACATGGTAGACCCAACATAACTCCTTATTCCAAGTCAAAAAGTAACTCAGAATAATTCTTATAAAGGTTCTTACTTTTTTTGGGCCATGGTTTGGGCATCATGACCACTTGTAATTACTATTATGTCCATCCACAGTGTGCACTAAAGAATTGATCCTGGTTATTTAGGCCATTCTAGTCCTTTCCACTTAATATTCAAGCCAAAAGAGGAAGCAAAGTGATTGCCAGTAGAATTCACACTTTAATTTGTACAGGCTTCCCTCCTTTTACCACTGGCTTTTGCTTTTAGTAATGATCACAGTTGCCCACCACCACCATCACCACCAACTGCTGACCAATTTAAATAAGCAGCAGATTTCTCAGACCCCTCATTCCCCACAAGATTCCACCCCCATTTACAGATCTCTCTGCAGAGACAGCAGCAGCCAGATGGAATGGAAGAAGTCTCTTGTCTAAAGCCAGAGAAAGCAACAACCTTTATCTTTATGAGTAAGAACTCTTATCTCTTTCATGTTCTGTGCTTATAACAAGTTTTTGTGTAAAGATAACTGTTCATTTGCAGTCAGCATTACCTGTGACAGTATTACAGCAATGAGCAATCTTACTATCTCAGACAAGTGGAGCAGGAGAAGAGAAAGGTCTGCACACTGGAACCATATTGCATTCTCCAATCAAATAAAGTATGTTTTACATTACATGTAGATCAGGCAAAGAAACAAAAAGCTCTGAACAGCCTAGAAGCTTATTATATAACATCTACACACAAAAAATGAAAAGAAACTGATATAGAAGGCCAATTCAACTTATTGATCCTCCTAGCTCTCTCTATGTTTTCTTCCTTCTTTTTTTTCTCTTATCAATATTCTCTATAAACCTTGGCGAGGTGCCAATCTGTAAGTACAATGTTTGTTCTGTACAACTGGCTAATCAATAGCCGAAAACTTATGGAACATCGAATACCCCCATTCGGGTTCCATAACAACACACAAAAGAATATGAAACAATTAAAAAACACACACTAGATACTGTGAGTATTAGGTCGGAAACTCCGAAAAGGATGCAGATCATCTGTCAGATCTCCAGAGAAAAAGCTAGAATGCCTCCATTGCATTCTAGGGTGCAGACCAGATCTTCCAAGGCCTCTTGAAAAAAACTCAGGTCGTAGTGACTGCAATCCAAACAAAAATAACTCCAAAAAATTGAGTAGACTACATATAATAAAAACTGTTGATCAAAGTTATGGTGATTCTGCCCGCCGCAGAATCTGTGTAAGGTTTGATCAGTAAAGTTGGTTATAGACTGTGGAGGAGGGCTCTTTTGCACGATGGAGGTTGTGTAAGATTTGTGCCTGGATACGGGGATGTGGACTCCACTCCAAGTGTTTTCAATAGGAATTGCCTCTCCTGCAAAAACAATAAATAAATAAATAAAAAGTTAATCTCAGTCTTGGCTCACACTTCACATAAAATAGGTAAGGTCAAAGAGAGGCATATGAAAATGAAATCATGCATCACAATTTACATGAAATAGAAAAGTCAATGTAAAAGGCATGATGAGGATCACTAAACTAAATTTCAAAATAGTTTCCACATTACCAAAAATCAGGAAAGAACATGACCGTAATCCAACCGATGAAAGTAGTAATTCTTCAGAGTTGCATTCTAAGCATATGATGAAGAATTTTTTTAACCAAAACAGCTTACTGTTTGATTGGATTTGTTATCTTACTTTTTAAATCTTCATAAGGGTTAAAATTTTTAAAAGAGGAATTCTGTAATCAGTCTGCATTAAAGATAAGCACGTCTTTCGAAAAGAAGGCAAACGAGCTAGAATAGAATTTGGATGTGAAGCATTATGATTAAGGCAAGACTAGAAAGGGAGATCAAGATTGTGAAAGAAGGGAAAGTGTAAGAGATAATGATGAGGAAGCAGCTTATATTCCAAAATCAATTCTGCTGCAAGCCTTGAGCCGAGAGTCTATTGGAAACAGCTTCTCTACCTTCACAAAGGTAGGGATAAGGCTGCGTACACTACCCTCCTCGGACCCCACTTCTAGGATTTCACTTGATATGTTGTTGAATTCTGCTGCAAGCTTAAGATTGCTCACCAGCTCTTCTGAAAGTTAGGTTAACGAAGTGAAGAACCGGTAAACTTACAGGGTTTTAGCAAGAAATTCTGTTTACTAGTATATGTAAACTCACATAGATCAATACATAAAAGACAATCAGTAACCTCCAAAAACCTGATTTTTTTCTTTCGACTATTTAGTACACACCTGATTTTTTTCTTTCGACTATTTAGTACATAACAAGCCGAAATTGGCACATATCTAAGATATTGCATTTTGGCAAAGATTTGGGAGGTCTTAAAATCAGATAATTGCATTAGGTAGAAATACCAGACATCTTCAGTTTGCTCGAAGATTTTTGGGGTTGCATGTCATACATATATTTTCAGTCCAGCTCTGTTCCTTCTTCCTTTTTAGTGCTTTTTATTCTTTTTTGTTCTCTCAATAAACTGGAGCTAACAACAGATGCATAGAATGATATTATATTTATGGCTCTTCCTTTCTTTATATTGAAAGAAGCATGATACACAGCACTCCAGATAACAAGGATTCAGATTTCTGTTAAGGAGACACAAAATGGAAAAGAACAAAAATAAAACAAAAGAAGCATACTCATTCTCATAAAAAAAAAAACATACTTTCTCTTAAACTTTTGAACTAACCAACTGAGGCAAAAGTAAACTATGTTTTCAGTTGAACTGATTTGTCTATAGTTCTCTATGGGCAATACTTGGTTGGAACATATTCACTTTGTGTACCTCAAAAGCCTAGTCGTGTAGCACAGTTCAGTAAGAATCATTGCAGAACTGATTAATCGTTGTAAACACAGTGTCTTTGTTGCTCCAATCCACCCGTATAATCTCTCCTAATATCTCAATTAAGCAAAAATATCCATTCTTTTGATGGATTACCCATGCATAAAAGTCCAATTTGATCCATTATCTAAATGCACTGATGGTGAAGCTCTTTAGCAAAACATTTACATTGAACTGGTTTAATATTAACAAGGCATAGATTGCTTACACTTTCCGAAAACTTTGGGGTGGGAATTTCTGCAGCTAAAGATCTGAACAGTGGAGTTACTTGAAGAGGAGAAGTGAAATCTGTATCCAGAAATTCACATTCAGCTGTAGCTGGTCCATCATTCACTTTTTCTTCACCACGAACTGGCAAAGTATCTGAGATAATGCAATCACCACAAGTATCAGCATAAAGCAACTCCTATGGCTGTTAAACTAAAAGAAATATTTTTGAAGTTCTTAATTTAGATAATGCAATCACATCAGCGCACCTTGATCACTCAACTGAGAAGTTCGTAGTTCAGATTCAATATCCTGATGGTGCGCACACACTTCGGCTTGGCTTTCTTCTGTTTTATCGGCCAACGCATGGGAGAGCAGAGTTGATCCAGTACTATACTCAGAGCTGCCAGCAGAATCTTCAGATAAAGCAGGTTGCCTGCACAACGACATTTTTAGACACAACGGCTATGGGATAAGCTGAGCGCCGTTAGAAATGTGAGCTTGCATCGTCAATACCTCCAAGATGGTCGACTGCCTTCATTACTGCTCTTCGAATCTGCTATCAGGTCCTTATAATCATTAGGTCCAAGATTCATCTCAGGGATCTGGAACTTGAGCATATCACCTTCCTTTGTTTGATGAAGAAAATCTTGGAGTATCTGAAAAAATATTCAAGCTTTTCCATTAGAGTTTCTGCAGATAAAGTGCAGAATCATTTCTACATCTATGAAACACAAGGGACAGCTAGATAAAGGGCAGCTTGGTGCACTAAACTCCCGCTATGTGCGGGGAAGGGCTGGACCACAAGGGCCTATTGTACGCAGCTTTACCCTGCATTTCTGCAAGAGGTTGTTTCCACAGCTCGAACCTGTGACTTCCTGGTCACATGGCAGCAACTTTACCATTTACGCCAAGGCTAAGGGACAGAGCTGGATACTTGCAGAAATTTATCATTGGCAGCTCAAGCTGTCTTTGTCTTTTTCATGTAGTTGAAGAGATGAACAACGGTTCTCCTATTTTTGCTGTAAGGAATGAATCATGAAACTAAAGTGTATTACACAATTATTTTGAATGGCGTGGACCAGAATAGAGAGAAAAAGAGCTTTAGGGGTGTTATTGTTAATGATGGTTCCCCTAAAGTGTATCACCTGGTACATTAATTCGTTCCAAAAGCAGAAGTGTATTAACCGTACAAAGAACATAGACTTCACCTTCCAAGCATTTTCAAGGCTTTGATCTGTATTCTCTGTATTAACTTTCATAGCCAGTGAGCTTAGCAGCTCCGCTTGTTGCATCAAAGCTTGTACCTTTGGATCATCTTTCTTAAGGAATGTTCCTTGAGTTTTGTTGTCTTAAAGATCCAAAAACAGTGAGTTAGGTATGTGTTCAACTAAATAGATCAGACAGTTACTGTACTAGTACATGGTTATTTACCATTTTCAGTTGTCTGCTGATGAGATGTCAAGTTTTTCCCAGCGTTACGAAAGTTTTGAGCTAGTACTGCAAATGGATGTCTTAGTAGTGGATGTGTAGTTCCACAATCACCAAAAGATTTTTCTCCGCTGTCACAATTTTGACGGACATCTGAGATGTGGCTCGTCCTACATCACAACAATATAGTGTTATATTGGCTACATCGCAACAATATAGTGTTATATTGGAGACACTCTCTCTCTCTCTCCAAACTATAGCTAAATCTTTCTTTATCCATTTTTACCTCAGCTTTTTAAAAGGAGCAGCAGCTTCTGTTATTCTGTCAATATTGAGACCATCTGGAAATATAACCCTCTTGTTATTTAGGTTAACGAATGAATTGCTGTTTTCTTTAGCCAAAGCTTCATGTTTAGCTCTCTTTTTGCACAGTGTAGTGAATCGATTCTTCACAGCATTATCCGTTCTGCATTTAAAAAACCAAGAATATCAGGTGAATACTTATTTTTCCCAACTAAATGCTGAAAAGTACAACAATAATAATAACAAAATACAATGCTATTTACCTGCCTGAAACCACCTTGGCAATTTCTGTCCATCTGTTACCAAAAATCTTTTGAGCCTGCAAATAATATTCTTTTTCTATCAGATATCTAGATTTTGATCACAAGACAATTTCTAACCAGCTATGCTGCACGAACTCTCCAAAATAGTTATCGCATCCCGTGTCGGATCCTCCAAAAATGCACTATTTTTTGGAGGATCCAACACGCACCCGTCGATATTTTCAGAGAGTCCGAGCAACATAGCTAACCATAACTTAAATGGGCTGTAATAGAAAATAGCAGCAATCAAACACAATCCACAGTTGAAAATAGCCCAAAATGCTAAAATAAGTGAAAGTGAGGGGAGTGGGATATAACAAAGAAGCAATCAAGAAAAGCATCATTTTTACCTCACATAAAAGCATATCTTCTTCAGGTGACCATCCCCCTTTCTTGAAATCAGAGTTCAAATAAGTGAACCATCTGCAGATATTTCAAATAATATCACCTTAAAATACCAACCAAAAAAGAAAAAGGGAAAACAGAAACACAGAGTAATAGTAGCTTATATCATAACTCATTTTTAACTAACCTTCTTCTGCATTGCCTTGTTGTTTTATCCTTGAACTTCGATGCTATGATCGTCCAACTACAAAAACAAACCAGAAAATAAATTTAAATTTCATTACCAATATCACATACACACTTAACTTTAATCACATATTAACAATAAAGTAGAAAGAAAAATCAAATAGGGTAAAAAGTAATTACTTGTCAGTTCCATGGATTCGAATTTGCTCTCTTAGTATATCATCCTCCTGCAACTCAGAACAAATCCACTACATATCAAAACTCCAATCAATACAACAATCCAACAAAAAAAAAATTGAAAAATCATTTCTTGCAAATATCCCAATACAGTAATTCCAAATTAACAAAATCAACAACTACACCACCGTCCTAAACAAGCTGGGGTCGGCTATATAGATCCTCACTTCTCCATTTGAGCTCAACTCATGTTTAAAATCCAATCAATACAACAATCCAACAACTTAAAACTCAAAAAAAATGCCAAAAATCATTTCTTGAAAAAATCCCAATACAGCAATCCAAAAACACAATCAAATAAAAAAAAACAAAAAAGAAACCAAATAATCACAAACCTCTTGAGACCAAGAAACAATATGTCTTTCTTTAGGTTTAGCAGCTTCACCACTATTTGAACTTTTCTTCATATTCTGTTGCATACTTCACTTCTCTGCTCCCTCAACACTCGCATGCTATAGTAAAAAAGAGACCCTTTTAGGTGAATGATATATAAAAGAACAAAAAGAGTGTATTGCAAAAAGGGAAAACTGTTTCACTTCTCTTTACACTGGTAATACTTCCTCAACAGCTAATTACAAGCAAATTACAATCTTGGGGTCATTTTAATACACTGAAGTATCAATTTATTTTGCATAGGATTCTGACTTTTAACCCCCAAAGACTCCACCTTTTTTGCCCCAAGAAAGTTTAAACAACATCCATAGAATCCGAATTAGGATAAAATTTGTGTTACCTCGAGATTTGGGAAAAATGAAAAAAGAAATAATCTTGGGGTTTATGAATTATGGGGTTATGTGATAGTAACGTAGATCTAAAGGTATATGAAACCTTAAAGATTGTATTTTTATGGTTGCCTGTTAAAATGGTGATATTCTTGATATAGAGCAAAAAGGGGGTGGTGGGTTTTGGGTAGAGGGGTGGGGATGNTTCTTGCTTTTGAGCGCGGGTATGAAGGAGAAGTTTGAAAAAATAACGCTGAATTCCATGAGACTATAATTAATGGCATAGTAGAAACTACACTCATCATTCCCCACTTTCTCTTTCATTTCTTATAGCGTACGTATAATGCTTTCTACAGTGTGTATAGTATTTGATGATAAGGTAATGGTAGTAGTGGCGTTGACAATAATTTCTCTAAGTATGTTCAAACTTGAAAGAAGTCAAAAAAATTCTTATTAAAAGGTGTCCGTTATATATTTTTAAAATTTAATATTTTATTTATATATACAATATAATTTTTCGATGAAGGGCGGTCAAGTAACCACCTTACAAGACTGTAGCTTCGCCCATGAATAGAGGCGGATCCAGGATTTGAAGTTTATGGGTTCCTATCGCAATCTCAAATTAATGTAATTTTCATAAAAATATAGGGTCTACACAAAAGTTATTGGGTTTCCGAGAACCCATATACTATACTCTGGATACGACCCCGCCCATGAATGTCATACTCTCTCCTGAACCGAGGGTATATCGAAAACAACAACTTTATCTTTACAAGGTAGGGGTAAAAGTTGTATATGCACTACTCTTCTCAAACTCAACTTGTGAAATTATACTGAGTTTGTTATTGATGTTGTTATTATTGCAATGTCATACTCTATGATGTTCATATTAAGATGAACCACATTGGATAGTCTTAATTTAAAAATTATTTATATAAACTATCATTAATCTCTTCATTGAATACTTAACTTAATTAGCACTCCATTAATTGGAGTGGTAATTGGAGTGGTAAAGCTAGATTTGAAAAAGAATAAAGTATTAACGAACTTCTTGTTTTTTCTAAAATGTCATAATTTTGGAAATAATCTAGTTCACCAAATTGAATAATATTAGGAAACTGGAATAAGATACTAGTATTTCAACAAGTGTATATATTGAAGTTTGATTTTTTTTTCTTTTATACATTTGATTAGAAATACATATATAGTGGAATGATTTGTTTTAAAAAAAATAATGTCTTTATGCTAGGTTTATATATACTCATATTAATGTCTTTACTTTAAATTTTTGGACCCATCTTTGCCTTTTTTTTTCTTCCTTAACCTTCTGATTATTATTTTTTTTTTTCTAACTCCTTTTTTTGAATAGTACATGACAACATTCGTGACCCAACTACATGCATTATAAGATTCCCCCGCACCTTAATATTCATATAGATTTCTTCGATCAGTTCAAATTTTTACTTGTTTTGTAGTGGGGGTAATTGGGGCTGAGTTTTTCTACTTAAATGAAAAAATAAAGGGGGTGCAACCCACGTGAGTTTTGAAGAAAAAGAATGGGATAAATAGGGTCTGATATTATTTGAAATTTATATATTATATGATCATGTGGTCACTGGTCAGTCCAGCCTGGTCTGATCATTCACCTCTTTGAAGTGAGTATATGGAATATAGTTCTTGTTTGAAAGTTGAAAATTTCTTGTTTAATTTCTCATTCTCATTTGCTTGGGGATGAAACTTCCTAAAATTCAAACTTTTTAACCTTTAATGTTTCCTTTTTGAAAAGAAAAAGGAAATTATATTACATTGGCAGATTACAACAACAATAACAATAACAATCCAGTATAATCCTACTAGTGAGGTCTGAGAAGGGTAGTGTGTACGCGGACCTTACTCCTACCCTGGGGTAGAGAGACTGTTTCCGATAAACACTTAGCTCCCTTCCTCCAAGAACTCTCCACCTTACTCCTGGGGTGACTCGAACTTACAACTTCTTGGTTGAAGTGGAGGGTGTTCACCATTACATTGGCGGATTACCGAAGCAAAAAAGAAAAATTAGGATAAAAAGAATGAACATACACTTACGATGTGAAAATCTCTCACCAATACGATTAGACTATACGCTTTAGCGGTACTCTTGATGTTGGATTATATTGGTAATATTCCGGATATAGTAATATATAAAAAAGTTTATTATTTTCCCATAGTTAACAAGAAATAATTAAGTGGAAAATTTAATAGGTAAAAGCCAAATGGAGAAGTGATTATGATCAGACCAATTGAATTTCAACTTGCACACTGTGATTAGAATTGTTTATTTTCCAACTAGTTTATTTTAAACTTGAATAAATTATTGACATTTTGTCCTCTCTAGTTAGCCTTATAGCTTGTCAAATAGCTTTCATAGAGGTCATGAAAGTCATTTGATTGGATTTTGTTTTTGTTGATAGTGAAAATTAGTTAATTCGATTACCCCCCCTGAAGGTAAAGAAAGATCATTTTAGTTCCCCCAACTTTGGGTATTGGTACATTCGGCACAACAGTTCTAAACGTCTCATATTACAAGCATGAGTTAGGACCATTCTTTTACCAAATCTTCTGTCAAATTATAGCATTCGATAATCATATATAGAGTTAATTGCATCTCATTAAGTTGAAAAAAAGTGGAGTAGTTTTCATGTTTATGAATTTGATATATGGATATGTAATATATATCCTGCAAAGACTATTAAAGAAAAATGATAGTCCTATAGTAATGTGCTAAAATAAGACCTTTGGGAGGGAAATGTAATTAAATAAAATCTTGAGGATTGCAGTACATTTTAACTTTTGGAAGTTGCTGTGCCAAGAATCAAATGTTCTACTTCTAAAATCCTTTTTCTTGAGTAGTGTGGTAGTCAAACTTGAGTTTTTGACCCTTAATCACTCTGAGTTGCATGTTCAGAATATATTAGTTAAATCCTACTGTATTCTTAAAAGTTGAACTACGTGCTTGAAAGAATGAAGGGGAGATTCTCTGCCCTTTTTACAATTAATGGCAAAACAAAAGGTAAAAATAATTAAATACAATCCTTTCGGGCTAATTTTTAAATACAATGTGTATTTATTTTGTTGAACTTAGATAATATATTTATTTGGTTCCAAAGTTCGTATTTATAAATGTTGACCCTTGAGATAATATATACTATGTATTTTGCATCTAAAGTATGGGATTTGAAATAGGAATGTCTAGTTGAAAATTTTATATGTAGTATTCTAATCTGTTATAAGAAATATCAAATTATGGTGGATGTCTACTCTTTCTCCATGATATTCATCTCAAATACTTAATGACATATTCAATGACATATTTTCTATGTTTAATGACATATTCAATAACATATTTTTTTCACTTTTCATGCCTATATAAAGGCCTTGTAATAGATAGGAAAATACACACAATTGAAGAAGAAATAAAATCTCTTCCTTCTCTCTATCTCAAATAGATAGGAAAATATACACAATTGAAGAAGAAATAATAATCTCTCCTCTCTTTCTCTCTATATCTCTTAGCTTGTTTTCCCCTGTTTTATATTGTTATTTTGAGCTATATTTCATAACACGTTATCAGCACGAGACTTTATAGTCTCAAGAAGCTCTTTAAGAAAACTAAGGTATAATTTTTTTCCTCTTTTAATTATGACTGATATTATGAAAAGAAAGTTCGTTGCACTTGAAATTTCGGGCAAGAACTATAAGACATGGGTGTTGGATGCTGAAATTCATTTAGATGCAATAGCTCTTGGAGACGCCATTAAATATAGAAATAAAGCATCTACCCAAGATTGTGCTAAGGCCTTGATTTTCTTGCCCCATCACCTTGATAAAGGGTTGAAAATAGAATATCTCACAGTCAAAGATCCACTTGTTTTGTGGAATGGCTTAAAGGAAAGATATGGCAACTTAAAGTTAGTCACACTTCTACAAGCACGATATGATTGGGCTCATCTGAGGCTCCAAGACTTTAAGTCTGTTTCTAAATATAATTATGTGATGTTCAGAATTACTTCTAAATTGAAACTCTATGGAGATCGTATCACTGACTATGATATGCTTGAAAAAATGTTCACAACGTTTCATGCCTCCAATATGGTCCTGCAACAGCAGTACCGAGAGAAAGGTTTCAAGAATTACTCTGAGTTGGTTTCTCTTCTCCTTGTGGCTGAACGAAACAATGACTTACTCATTAGAAATCACGATAATCAACCCATTGAATCTACACCATTGCCCGACATGAATGAGGTGTATTACCATTATGCTAAGCGTGAAAAAGGTCGTGGCCCTGTTCATGGTCGTGGTCGTGGCCGTGGCCAAGCAATATTCTTCTTTTCTTATGTTCTAATATTATATTATTCCACTTAACATAGAAAATTAGTACCAAACAACCATTGAATTTTGTGTCAATATGACTTAATTATTTAAAGTACCAATGATATCAATGCCGCACTTTGTTCAAGCAATTGGTTTGTAAGCCTAGTAATCTGAGTTCTAATAAAGCGTCATTAACCTTTTCTTCAAGAAGGATGTCAATTAAGAGGTTACATGTATAACTTTGACCATTTTTATTTAGCATATTTTAGGAAATATTTTTGTTACTTAACCATTGTATAATATATTATTTATGATAACTCGTTAATATGACTGCAATATTTCGTCATTTAGTTTATTATATACCTTATGAATGTTGGTCCTATTTTTAACGTTTATACAATTTATTGTCTACTTTTGTGTTTAGTTACCTTTATTTGCATACTCATTATTTTATGTGTATTAATATGACTTAATTTTTTCGTGTTATAAAATCATATGACAACCTAAAAATAATCTATGGAATTGTTTGTATCATAATGAGAGTCTGCTCGAAATTGCATTAAAAGTCACTATTAAATCATTGGTTTAACTTTATTTCTTTTTCTTTTTCTCTAAAAATACTAATATTTATTCATATACTTCTTTTGTATGTCAAACCATGGGAAGTAAATATGAATATCTTTCAAAGCAAACTTGGATCAAAGTTCAATTATAAAAATATTTGCTTAATTGATTCATGTACAACACATACAATATTCAAAGAGAAAAAATATTTCTCTCATTTAAGTATGTGTAAGGTAGCTGTTACTATAATTTTTGGTAGTAATAATCTAATTGAAGGCTCTGGA